CGAGATGCGGTACCTTCTGGAGATATAAGATCATCCCTTTCAGAACTGCATAGAACTTCTTCCATCCTCGGCGACCCCTTGGAGCTAGGAGAAAAAACACAAAGAAAGCTCTTGCTTTATTACTATTTTTCTTTATCATAAAGGATTTGCTAACTTGAGTCAAAAATGTGTGTACTCACTGCGTTTCCCATCCATGTCGGCGTGGCTTTTCCGGGTCAGCACGCCATGCTTGTAGGTGACGGCATTTAGGAGAATGGGAATGGCAATGAAAGGGTTACTGCCGTCCGTTACCCTAGCAACACGTTTACTCCCCCCCTCACATTGCTCCTCCACCAGTTCTGACAGACTCTTCCTCAGCTCCTCCTCCTCACTGCACACACACACACACACACACACACACACACACACACACACACACACACATTGAAATGTATTCAAGTGCACTTACTTCAAAAAACTTGCATACTACAAATACTTATCCTTTTGATGGGCATAGAACACATACTCACACTGCCCACTCAAGCTTCTCGTTCTTGATCGAGTTATACAAAACCTGTGCAGGCAACAAAAGAGGGGACTTGTGAACATTTTCTTTAAAAAAAAAAATAGACTACTGGGTTGGAATGACAACACAAACTTTAGTCTGTGGCTGAGAATAAATGAATAAATAACAATCAAACTGACTCAGTCTTCTGTTGCTGTGCTACTTCAGGACGAGATCTGTACCTTTAATAAATCTTTGGGAAAGTCTTTGCTGTTGTTGAGACCTTCTAGATTACTGATAAACTGCTGACAAGACATCTTCTTCCCAATGTTCTGAGGAGAGGAGAACACACCAAGAGACAGAGAGAAATGAACAAACAACAATTTGATGATTTTTGGGGGGGGCATGTGTATGAAAAGATTTTTTAAAAATATATTATTATTATTTTAAAGAAACTGGTGCTTTACACCGAGTTTTATCGACTCCAATGTCGATGCAGATTAGATTCTGTCCACTGGGTGGCAGTGTTATACAGCTGAGGTACTACCGCAGTGGTAGTGCCTATATTAGAACATATCAAGCACACCTTTTACCAGCGTTTTGACCTCTAATCACGATGCCTCATGATTAGAAGGGAGATGTTTCTAACCTGAATAGACACAGAAGTGGAAATAAAACTGATCTGAAACTGATGTGATTCACACATTCCTCCAGGGAGGCTACATAGCAGGCAAGACAGCCCAGTTCCCTTTTCCAGCGAAAACAGAAATTATTCAGGATGTGATCTGACAGGCAGTGGAAAATGTTTTATTCTCTCTTTACTGGTATGATCCACTAATGGTCACAAGAAGATAATACTCTTACAACTTCACTGAATGATCAGTTTTCATTTAAGCAGCATAAATACCAACCAAACTTAGGTATTTAAATACTTTTGTCTCACTGAACGAAAGTATTTAAAAACCTACATTTTAAAAATATGACTTCAATTCTATTGTCAGCTGACAAAAGGAGGAGCATTTGTGAACGAGATGAGTGTTAGTACTGTACGTATACTTACCACCTGCAGGGGCAGAGAGAGACCAGGGGACCAGATATGGTTAGCAGAGGATGGATTTGAAAAGGAGGGAAAGAGATTGAGAAAAGACAGGATTTTAATTAGAGAAGGCCTATTAAGTAAAACTACTATTAGCAGGAGGGTGAAGAAAAGCAAAGCAAAAAGCCTATGATGGATCATGTTATGCAGACCACAGTGTCCCTGTTTTTAGAAGGGAACAGACGAGACTACAGGAGGAGAGGAGAGACAGAAACAGGTCAGAAACTAGGCCGGGGAGGGGAGAGAGAAGCTGGGACAAAAGCACAGAAAGAGAAGGGAAAGAAGAAGAACTATACCTAAAAGAGGACATAGATAAAGACATGGCATTGCTGACAAAGGCCTGTATTTACACTCTGTTGTCTAATTCAGTTTTCAGTCCTGTGAGGTAAGACCTGAATGTCAACAACCTACATGTTTTGGGGACTCCAGACTCATTTAAAAAAAAGTCCCTGCCGGAGGTCCACTTTGGCTATGTTTGTATCTTCCTGAAAATCACCTTTCACTGATAATTACATATATCTTTGATCTGGATGGGTCGATAATACTGCCTTTGGGAGGTGAAGGACAAGAAATCTTTCACTGTCAAAGCAAATGTGAAAGCTATTTAGCGAACGTCAGCTAGTTTATCTAACTTTGATGCATTCATTAGTGTCAGGGTCACTGTAGTCAGTGTTCTAGGGCAGCAGCAACAAACCAGTAACACTTTAGTTAGCGTTCCTTGTTCTGATGGGACTGAACAACTAACCAACATTTTGTTAAAGCTAAGCTTGCAAAAACAACAGGTAGATAGCAGACCTCACAGGTGGGCTTTCTATAGCAAAATGAAGTCACATGAAGAGTGATTTAGACAAATGAAAGGTTGTTAATTCTGGGAATCAGAATGTCAGAGAAACACAATACATACATGTCCATGCAGATCTGTGTTGAGCAGCATGAGGGCGCAGGTCAATGTGTGGGCTCCATCTGTAAAGGGACAGTACACATGGCTGAGGTCCGCTAAATGTCACACCACTTCTTTCCAAGCACACACACACTCATATAAAAACAATAGTGTACAAAATCAATGTACATACAGTTTTTCAGCACACGTCTGCAGTGCTGCACAAAATATATCTACACACTCAAATAATATCATCTGGTGCTATAAAGTGATTTGCAATAGTTACATTTTAAGAATTGAAATGCACCAGCTTCATCACTGCAATGCAAAACTATGGGCCATGGACATTTAGTCAACTGTTTTCTACATGGACACCAACAACAGCCATTTTTTTTTGTCTTTTTTCACTTTCTGATTATAATACTGTTACCCTTGATTATCTTTATCATCACCTTCACAGCTCTGACCTTCAGAGGTGGGTGTCTGGGGGTTACAGTGGCAATAGCGTCTGGAGAAATGGACAAGGACCCGCTCTCTCTCCTGGGTTTCGCCCATCAGTGGAAAGGCCTTTAAGAAGTTCCTGCCACACATGAACAACCTTATGAAACATTTTTCTCAAAATAACCCCCCAAAACTGCAACAGTTAGTCCTGCTTTTTAAAACTCAGGTCATTGTGGCATAGTGCAGTATGGTACAGGTTCCACATCTAAACTGTAAATAAATCAGAGGGGATCAGTGTCAAAATCATTGATTGATTTGTCAACTGACACTTTTGTTAAACAACAAAAGCATATTATTATCACAGATCTGAGCATTTTCTGTTTTTGTTAACTGTGCTAAATTTAAAGTTATTATTCTAGGGAAGCCATCTTGGTAGCTGACATCTTTTTTTCAGATTTAGATACAGATGATGCATCTAAAAAATTTTTTTTCAGAATTCATCACTTTGTCTTAATGTACTTTGAAGATCCAGAATATGTAAAGATCCCAACAGTACCAAAATGAATGCAGGATGTCACTTTTCATCAGCATTGTTCACTCAACTGAAAGTCCTGCACTGAAGGCAGCAGTCTGAGACAGCAACATGTCAGATACAAGACCGTGATGTACTCTGCAGCTGTCAGCTACACCAGCTAACTGTACTGAGCACGACAGCTTGATTAACACAAAGCTAATGTGTTGTGAAGAGGGAATGTGAAGAACACACACAGCCTAGGTGCATGCACTGTAACTGTCCCTGAGACATTTAAAATAAAGTTGGTTATTTCATGTTTCTGTGATAGATTCATGCTTAATTTAGTTCATTTATTTACAAGATAAGATGATAAAAGTGTAACATTAATTAAAAAACATGTCTAAAATATGTGATTACAAAATATGGGTTTGTTAAATATGTAAAGTGCTGTAATGTTTGTATGAGGTAAAGTTTGTAATTGTCACATGACCAGAGTTTGGTTGAGAGCACAACCATGGCATTGTGGAGCTAGCATGGATACATGGCTACAGATGCATCTACAGCCTCAGCGTTAATGTTATTCTGCATGTGGTCCAAGAGGCGCACACGGTATGGTTTCATGTATATTGTTTGTATAATGTTGCATACGAGAGGACATTTTTGTGATATCCATTATTCTGCATTTTTCTGTTCTGCTTGCACAAGACTGTTTATGGACACTGATATGAGAGACTGATGAGCTCAAAACATTTATGTTGTAAACTTTGTGTTTCTTCAGTTTTCACGGTGTCTGAAGACAATAAGAGTGAGAGAGAGAGAGAAATAAATTTCCGAAGACATCAGTATGATGCGTGGCCATTCTTTGTTGGACCCCTGTAGTTACATGCACTAATAGCTCTACCATCACACATTCATCACCTGCCAGTGCTGAGTGGGCATTACCTCAGGGCGCGATCCAGCGACAAGCCAGAGAAATCAAAGAAGCTCAGGTACTCTGATGCCACCATCTGGCTGAACTCATTACTGCAGGGAGACAGAAAGCACATCAACAAATGTTATATAAATGTTTGATAACACTATGTTACAGCCACGACTAAGGGTGTAACTCCCCTGTGATTAAACGGAACTTCATTATATTTTATTTCAAATTACAATACAGTTATATTTACCTACAAAACAGTTAAAACCTGACTTGTTGCGCCCTTATTTTTGTGTGCCTACTGGGAAATATTTATAGATAATGGATACACATTCAGATATGAACACACATTGAGGAGTGTTTAATGAAACTTTTTTCTGTTTTGTTTGTTTGTTTGATTTTTACATCCATCATCTTTGTGTCTCGTGGATATGGAACACTTGTGGCAAGCCCACAAACCTCCCTGTATTGGACCATCACACCAGAGTGTGTGTGCCTGTGTTAACTGTCTGTATGCGTGCTCACTTCTTGCCCAGGTGTCTGGCCACATCGCAGCGTTTGAAGCCCTCGAGGTGATAGAGGCGCTTGGCAAGCCTCTTCGCAGCCTCACAGTCAGCTCGGCAGCCATTGGCCAGAGTATCCGTGCTCCCGTGTTCCAGACTGCCCAAATCACACTCATCTGAGTCAGACAGCCCGTCTGTGAGGTTGGCATCGCTGAGGAGGAGAAGACACACACACACATGTAAAAACAAACACACAGTCGCACACACAAGCAGGTACCCAGGGTAATGAATGGAACGCATGCCCATTATGGACACCCACTCACTCACAGCTAAACAGAAAAAGCTCAACTGTGAAGCATAAAACTCAATTACATAAACATATGCTCACATGCACAGAAAAACAAGTCAAATGAGGTTCAAATGACTTGTTATGGCAGTGACCCACTTTCACTGTCACTTAATGTCCTACTTTGATGCAGTGGATATGATGGCTGATTATACAGCTGAAGCTGCTTCACCTGCCCCAATCTCCTCTAAAAAGCCCCACTAATCTCAGACCGTGGACCACTAGGATAATTAGAATTAAAGGGCTATAACATAAAGAAAACCCTTTAATTCTACCCTTCTATTTTGGGAAAATGCAGCTGGGAAGTTAGTAAAGTAAGCTTCTCAGAAGTGACCAAGTAATGCTCCTTCCCTGGCCTCGATGGTAGCTTTCCCCAAACACCCAAATGTGCTAGTTAAACGCCCTTTGCAACCTCCTTGTCTATCAGTCAAATGTCTATTCCAGCTGTGAATGAGTCTGTGTGAGAGTATGAAACAAGGAGTTTATGCCAAAAACAGAATGCACTTAGTCACCCCTGCAGGAGTAATAAAGGTGAAGAACAGATAAAGTGAGTGTTGAGAACACGACAGAACGTGCTGTTTTCAGCGTAAAGTAATAACTTGCACAGGCTGAATCGATGACAGATTTCCAACACTATGCACCATGGTAACAATACATGGTAATGTTTCAAACTGAAATGTGTTAACCGTTGCTGGAATATACCATTTTATAAGCAGCCTGAACTGATTATTAAGCTCTTTTCTATTTCACCCAAGTGAGTTACTCATTTAAGCTTATGCTTAAATATAAAATAAATAAATAAATGAATCATACTTTCAGCCAGTAAAAGCCTAAGTAGAAGGATGTAAAACCACTGCAGGGGAAAGCATGCTCAACAGGCCTAAAGCTGCATAAATATCATTCATGCTCTGATCCTAGTGATCTAACACAAATTTGATGTTTATATGAATAAAGTCAACTTCATTCAATTTATTAGAAGTTCCACAAGTATTGTCCAGGATTGATATAAATGGAATACATTTGACAGGGGTGGATGGGCATAAAAGCTTTTAGCCTAGTGATTTAGCACTGTACATTAAATCGGGGGAAGTAAAAACTTTTAATCTTTATATACCTTTTATATAACCAGGAAATGGAGCTCTTCAGATTTAGAATCTCTTGGGCAAGAGCTTCCTGGTCAACACAGAAACATTAACCTATGATTAACCTAACATGTTTTTGATTGCAGGGGAACCCAGAGCTGACAGACTGAACAGAGAAGGCCCATGCACAGGTTGAGACATAGGACCTTCTTGCTGTGGGTAAACAGTGCTAACTTGCTTAACCATCATGTTGCAACAAAATGATTTTAAAAAACTGACACAGCAGCAGGAGCTGATGTTCTGACTTTTTAATCACTAGTATGGGTCATGCTTCAGAAAGACACTAAATTATACATTTTGCAAAATGAAACTTAAAAGCATCTTTCATCAGACCCTCCCTGTCTGGCAAACGCAGACATATTTCAAACACTGCACTGTCCAGCTTGTAAAACAGGATTTGGCGTTACAGAGTTTTACCCTGAGGACATCAGCAGGTTTCTGAGGCTTTCAGTCACAGAAGACACTACATAACTTCTGAGTAGCACCATGACAGCTAGGCTGAGTCTCATGCTACAGTTGGCAACCTTTAATAAATAAGGTCATTACTGCAGGCTGTGATGAAGGCTACTGGGGGCTGAAGGAGAGTTTAACAGTCTGTTTATTCAAACAAAAGGCCCCACATGCTCTGTGGCTGTTAAACTGTTGTAAAGACAGCATAGATAATCAATGCAGAGTATTAATTAGTGCCCTGCTTATGTATTTATGACTTACTGTGGCAGCTTGACTGATGTTGTATCCACTGTGCTGCACTGCACTACATACTTTGCACACTGTTATGCACGCCAGAGTCAATCAGTGGGAAGCTGTGTAGCCTTTTTACTGGCATCTTAATAAACAGTGAGGATTGTTTTTGATTCCAAGTCATTTCTGTGACTTCTGTGTGTCGATAGAGACTTGACATTTCTCCACATGTGATGTGCACGTCTGTAAGACACTTGCTCCATCCAGACCCCACAGGCAAAGTATTGGTTAAAAGACAGCATAACGTCCATCCATGACAAAAAAAAAAAAAAAAAAGCAAATGGAAATGATACACCACTCGCATGTTTACCAGCATCCTGATGACAAATGAGGTACACGCATTCACCTCCGTCAGTCTCAGCAGCATTTCTTCATTTCCTGCTGGTCTCTGCATCCGTGATGCGCCGCCAGCAGCCCCAACAGATGATTCAGATGTCTTTGCATAATGTGATCAGCCCAATTTCATTACCCTCGTAAATTCAATACATTAGGCACTGCTGTCGTAAAGGATTAGTTGGTTACTATGGATACAGCGGAAGCTAAGTGTCCCACGCTACAGGAAGAAGAATGAAAGTGGACAAAAATCCAAAGCTACAGGCGAAATCACAAATGACTAGTTTCCATAGCTAAGACTCAGTCCCCTGACTTCACGCACTTTAGCTGACTGTGTGCTACACCCATACAGCTCAGTACCACAAAGGACTCTGATTTCCCTGCTCCAGGCAAGGATCCACTTTCATGTCTTGGCTGATTCATTAATCTCATAGAATCATCATCTGGCCTTTGATCTGCTGGGGCCAATTTGCCTTGGTAGCAACAGACTATTACCCCCATAAACAGAGTACCCAGAGTCACAGGATACATAAAAACTTCTTAACCACCAAGAGTTGGGTGATACAAACTTCTCCAACTTATCATAGCAAAGCATCACTTCCAAGAATGACAACGAGATTGCAGATAAAGCCAGCAGAAAATGGCCACTGACAGCGTGCAAAGGCTCAGCCTTGGGGACAGGGTGGGGAGTTTCCGGGAGGAGTAAAACTAGCTGCTTTTTGGAGTGGAAAAGGGGCCATCAGATCTGGTTTAGGGATGCGATTAAAATGTTTCCTGCACAGCTACCCCATAGCCAGCTCCTCATCAATACATAACTCTCACCCACAAAAGCTTAGTTACTTGAGACACAAACAATTAGATGAAGGGAAAAAATTTATAACAACAGGCAAACATGTTGATATACACCTAATAAAATGAGTGTGCCAGACCATTAAAACAATATCCAGCCTGGTGTTAGCAGTGAATGTGCTTTCGCTTGTCTGATCATATTAATTCACTGCATTCAGAACGTCCTTATAAATCATTCAAAACTCATATCAGTCGTGGGGCTAAATTGCTAAAATGATGCCAGTCTCCCTCCCGTGCAACGGTCTCTGGCACACAAACACAAAATATTAGTGAGAGGGACACAGTATTAAGTGTCAGCTATCTAGTGCAGGTCTTTTGTGAAAAAGACACTCAGAGTTACTGAGGGCCAAGTGGCACACAGCAAAGCTATTAGTCTATGTGAAGGCACAATTTTGTATCCCCAGGCCAGTCTTATTCAGTCAGTGTGACCGCCACTCAGTCTGCGCTCGTGTGACTGTGTCATACTCAGAGCATGATAGGACATGTCTCTGACTCACATGCTAATCTCTTTAGCTGTGTACTACCCGTGCCCACAGCTACAAGGTGTGTCTGTGTAAGGTGTGTGTGTGGGTGTGTGCATGAGGGAGGAAGCGGAGGGTCCTAAATACATCTTGGATGAGTGTAATTACCAATTATGGGGTAAACCAAATTGTAAAATTCTGTGATTTTACAGGCTCTTCTTTTGCTTTTATATAGCCTACACTGATCTATGGCCAAAGTGATGTATAGCAGTAGAGGCAGAAGTAAAGCTCTGTGTGTAGTTGTGCAAGCGTGTCAGTGAGGTCATCTGTTTCAATTTTTAGATTGAGTCTTGGCAGAAAATGAAACTAAAAACAAATGTAAGAACGGAACCTAATACAAACAACAAAGGCACCTCTGTGAATAAAAACACTCGTTACCATTAGTTCAGTGAACCGATTACAGTAGCAGCCTTTACTGTTTATTAATAAACAAACAGAATCACACACATTACTGATATTTGCTCTTTTCCGTAGGGTATAACACTGGTGTCTGCTACAACCAATCAGCCGTACTGATTTTATAAGAAGCAGGCAGGTGACAGCAATCAGGTCTTTGGCTACAAACCATTTATTACATATTTTAATACATCACTAGAACTGAATCCAACAATAACTGATTAAGACATTAATCACTTGATCAGTAAGCTAGTGATAAAGTGACTTATTTTTAATCATTTTCCACTTAATCAGAGGGGTGGTGTTTTTAGTTTTGGCTCTTCGTTTCCTACCACTGTAAACCCATCAACCTGAACTTGGCAGCTTATGATCTGTCATATCTTCAATTAAATACTGAACTGAACTCTGCTGTACCCACGACATCAAATAATCTATCTAGCAATAGGTGAATTATTAAAACAATAATAATAATAATTCCAGCAGATTTGTTTTTTTTTGTTGTTTTTTTAATTCAAATGAAAAGTAATAGCTAACCCAGTCCAGCACATCGTCAGCCACGTGCCACATTAGATTAAAATACGGTTTGTCTTTTTCTTTTCTTTTCTACCATAAATATGCCTTTCTATGAATATTATTCTAGTATCATGGGAATTTTTCGCCAGGGTCAACTTACACCACAGCTACCTCACTATTTCCATTTTGCCACGCAGCATAATTGTTAATGTACCCACCCATCTGGAGATCAGAGCTTTAAAAGAGTTTACAGAGATAAAGCCAAGCTTACAGGAGTTGCAGCAAAAAGTCGAAGTGAACATCATATTCCTCTTTCCACATCTCGGATCTTGGAAATTAGCGGTTAAAGGCGTGCTACGGTCCGACCGCC